AAACGTGTTAATCTGTATAGACGACGTCGAAGCTGTGGTGCAGGTACGCTGCCGGTGATCCAACTCCGAGCCATTCCTAACCGAACCTTAGGCCGAACTCGAGTCTGTGGAAAATGCCCAGGCGCCGACCAAGATCGTGGGAGTTCCTCCCTCGCGCGGACGTGGAGGGAACCAGACCCCTCGATCCGAGTCGATACTCATCACTGGCTCTCGGCCTTTGCCATCGCCTTCGTCGAGTTTTGGTACGAGTCCAGGACTTGACAAATGGGCGTTTGGCATGTCGCGCATCAACGTGGACGACGAGCAAGACACCGCCAACGATGCGCAGGCCAAATCTGAAGCGAACACAGAGAGCGTCGAGCGCGCAATGGGCGATGTACGCGTGCATGATTCGCCTGGACCTGCACCCAAGCTAGCGACTGCGGCTGGACCGAGTCTGCTCACGCGCAACGCCCCGGCAGACGTACATAGCCAACAGCCGACGCCGAGTAGCAGCAACCTGAGCAACGGAGATAGCACGAGCTCGCCATCCCCACATAGCGCGATCAAGGCGCAGGTTGTTTCTGCAAGCGATCGTTCCCCCGCCTCCCCCTTCCCTCGCGACGTCGCAGCGAGTGGATCTTCCCTCGACCCGGCCGCGATGAGCGAGCGCATCACCGTCAAGATTGCGGATCTGGGGAACGCATGTTGGACCGACCACCATTTCACTGACGACATCCAGACAAGGCAGTACCGGTGTCCCGAGGTAATATTGGGTGCCAAATGGGGCACGAGTGCCGACGTGTGGAGTGCGGCATGCGTGGTAAGTTGGCTTGCTGTGGAGCTTGTACATGAAGCTAAGGTGCATGCAGATCTTTGAGCTTTTGACCGGCGGAGATTACCTTTTCGACCCCCAGGCTGGGACTAAGTACAGCAAGGACGATGACCATATTGCGCAGATTATCGAGTTGTTGGGCGAGTTCCCCAAGTCTATTGCGTTTTCCGGCAAGTACAGCGGCGAATTTTTCAACCGAAAAGGTGAGTCGTCTTTCACGTTCAGGCCCACCAAGCTCACACATTGCAGGCGAGCTACGACATATCCACAAACTCAGGTTCTGGCCGATCGAATCTGTCTTGCACGACAAGTACCTTTTGCCTCGCGCTGACGCCGAGATGATTGGGTCGTTCCTGACACCCATGATGCGCCTGAGTCCCGAGAAACGCGCACGGGCGACTGACATGGTCAACCACGCGTGGCTCGAGGGGATCGTCGTTCAGGGCGAGATCGACCTAATCTTGGCGGCCGAGGCCGCAGAACGCAAGGAGCGTGGGCGGTCGGGTTCGCGCGCTCTCAGCCGCGGTACGCCCTCTGGGTCCAAGTCGAAATCGGGCAGCAAGGGTGGTTCGCAGCCGAGACGGCCGAGCGGGCCCCGGGACCCGATTACCAGCGTGCAGGCGCTCAACGAGGCTTCAGCTATTGATGCAATGCGGCCTGTGGACGAGGCTGAGATACTCGGTGGGCATGTGTAGTGATCTAGATTTCTCGAATTGTGGGTTATTTCTTCTGCTTCCATATGCAATGCCTGTCTACACACATGTCTTGGTCCATGTCTAGTTTGATTATGCCGCCGGTTTCTTTGTTATTTCTTTGTTCATTTTGTGGGCTGTGGCCGTTGATACAGGTCGCGGTTGTCGTTGCACTCGGTGGGGTTGGTGAATGCTATATCTTGGCCGTGGATTGAATACAGAAGTAGTGTGACAACATTAGGAGTAACATGTGGGAATATAACGGGTACAACATAAAGGAAATCCGAAATCGAAAAGGGGCATCCAGGGGGTATATGGTACGTGTCTTTGTTCATTGCAAGGGCTCAAAGGATATGGGACCCCTATACGCGGCTGCCATGTCTGTAATGTCCATCTCGGGTTGGGTGTAATTCGCCAGCGCGGCCCTTTCTCGCTCGGTCAACCGGCGAGGACGGGCCGTATCCGACGACGAAGGCGAGTCCCACGATCGCGAAGAGCCCGAGGATGAAGCGGAGGACATGCTGCTCGTGGACGCGGTATGGCGATGTCCGCGCCGGGGCTGGGATTCTGGCAAAAGGAATGCACTTGTGGTGCGAGTGTGGCTGGACCGCTGGAATATGCGGTGTCAATGCTTAAATTTTTTTCAGGAAGAACGGGCACGTACGCGACCCGTGTTCACGCTTGGAGCATTCTTGGGAGTAGCAGGCGGCGAGTACAAGAGGTCCTTGAATGCAGCGAAATCGTTAAAGGTGAGGGAGAAGCCCTTGACTGTGGAGAGCGACGCAGATGGGCGGGACATGGTTCGAACCGGATCGGCGGGAGTAGACGAGAGGTGGGGCAGTTGGCTTTCTGCGGTTTGCACCGGAGTATATATTGATGAAATGCCATTGTGCGCGTGAGGCAACGGCTGGCGGACGCGTGGAGGTGTCGAAGCACCATCAATCATAAGGGAGGCTGATTGTCCTTTGTTGTGGCTTGCGCGTGTTATTTGGCAATGGCGGGCGCCGCAGGTGTATGCGTGCGATTGACGCTCGCAACGTGTGCCTGCAGCTTGTCCCCTGTCGCCGTACTGGGGCAATTGGGATGGCGAGACAAAGAGGCAGTGACCGGCGCTTTGGCAAGCGCCGAGCCGGTATTTCATGATTAGCTCGCACAGACCAGCAGCAAGAGGGGCTTGTGAACGGACAACGGCCGCAAATTTGTTCGAAATACGGAGCGTCGCACTTTGCTCTCAACTACCACCACTTTCGCCCCCCGTAAGAACAGAACCCGCAGCCCTGCTCGTTTTCCACACTCGAATCGGCGCATAAACTCATACGATGGCCCGCACCAAGGTCAGTATTCGTTATATGCATATCTTGGCCACACCCGACGTCGTCTTTATCGCCGTTGCGGTCGTGGCTTGCCCCGTTGTCATCGTGCGAGCCGTCGCTGACTTTCTCGCCGTTTGTTTCCGGCATACACCCGGCCGATCCCGCATCGTGCTCCACACCGCCCGCCACGTCATCCGATCGGCCACATCACCCATCCCGCCGCCGACCCGACACCGCCACACAAATCCCGCCCTTCCAAATATGGAAACACCCAAACACATACCGACCCATAAATAGCAAACCGCGCGCAAGTCTACCGGAGGCAAGGCGCCCCGCAAGCAGCTCGCCACCAAGCAGGCGCGCAAGAGTGCGCCCCAGACGACTGGCGGTGTCAAGAAGCCTCACCGCTTCCGCCCCGGAACCGTCGCGCTCCGTGAAATCCGTCGGTACCAGAAGAGTACCGAGTTGCTCATCCGCAAGCTGCCGTTCCAGCGTCTTGTGCGTGAGATTGCTCAGGATTTCAAGACCGATTTGCGTTTCCAGTCGTCGGCTGTGCTCGCTCTCCAAGAGGCCAGCGAAGGTGAGTCTTGTGTCATGATACTACGTCATGTGCTTATCGTGCTTGCAGCCTATCTCGTTTCACTCTTTGAGGACACCAACTTGGCTGCTATCCACGCCAAGCGTGTGACCATGTGCGTCGTTCCTCGTTATATGCGTTCTATTACTTACCACTCTACAGTCAACCCAAGGACCTCGCTCTCGCCCGTCGTCTCCGTGGCGAGCGCTCTTGAATTCATTATCGAAATCTAGCCCTATGCACCCGTCTGTTTATTCTCGATTTGATGTTTGTATCTTGGTGCATTCGGCCTTTGTGTCTTGTCTGTCTTTGTAGTTCTTGGATTGAAGGCCCCGGCTCTACATTAACCGGATGGAAATCTTGTATCTAAGTACTTATGAACGTTTGTTGTTTGACTGGTACATGAATGCGTGTGTGTTGTTGTTGCCCTTGGTATGACAGGGTGTGGTTGAGTTGATGAGGTCACCGTTGTCCGACTCGCACGATGATGCACTGTTTCACGTCATTACCTAGTGTGGTTCGGTAATTGTATGCGTTGTTTCTCCGCAGCCTGTCGCCCCACGTTCTTTGGCAGAGATACAATGCAAACGACCGCAGAAATCCGACGGAAATCAAGGTTGTATGCTAGAGACGTCCCTTATCTAACAGCCCGCCATCAGAATATCGGACCAAGGACATTAATGGGTCGTGAAGTTCTTCATCAACTGGTGAGACATAGGATGTCTATCTCTCAGTTGTCCTGAGAAGTTTGTCAACCTCATGTGCCTGCTGTAGTAGCCAGTGTTGTTATGGGCGGCCCTAAGCATCAGACCTGACTTTTTCTACCTCGCCCCCTGCTTCATATGTATCCTCAAGAGGCCCTCCACAAGCGGCTGTAATTGGACTAACTAAGAAGACAGCATGTGGCTAGCTCCCGCCGTTGCGGCAAGGTGGGCGTCAAAGCTCGGCGCTTAAAGTCGCTCATAATAACACTGACTGTATTACGCTGCGTGTCCTCCCTTTTACCTTGTTATATTTCTTTTGGCTTGTTGTCGCTACGTTGGGGCTAACTTTCGGCACTTTCGTTTAGAAAAAAATGAATCGATTACAAGATGTGAGTGGTGTGCAAGGTATGAACTTTGGGTCTGAATGAAGTAAGGCCATACAGTGAACTGCGTTGAAGAGTATCAATGGTGGGTGCTGTGAAACTAAAGTTGAGTGCTGGAGAGCCTAAATCATAGTATAATTTACTCAAACACCAGCTGATATATCCTAATACAGGTTCCACCGTGCGCGAAACTTCTCGATGCACAATTAAAGGCTCGGTACTAAGCAGCTCATGGGCTTCCAAGCCGACTAACACAAGATCTATATCCACCACAGTCCAGAGCAGGCACTCGGAAACGGAAAAGTCATAATTAACTAATTCAGTCGCACAGGGAAGGACTGCATACATCCCGGATGCGGTAAACACTCAAAGGCCAAAAACCAGGCCATTCCACCACAATTTTACAACAAAACCAAGTCGTCCGCAATCTGTGAATCGAGCGTATAAGCCACTAGGAGAGCGATGAGGAGGGGGGAATGTGCCAGGATCGTGAGGTTGAGTCAAAAAGTTACCACAAGCCCTTATAGCTCAGTGGTAGAGCGTTGCACTTGTAGCGCTGCTTAGTCAGCTTGCTTATGTAATGCAAAGGCCTGTCGTTCAAATCGGCATGGGGGCACTCATTTTGGCTCAACTATCGGGGGAAATCTCCAGATGATTTCAAGCTGGCCTCGCTCCAATATCGACACTTTCCTGGCGAGTTTTTTAACGAGGTCGCATACATCGTGCATCAACTTATAATCTTCGCTACAGAATGGGGGTCAGTCTTTCACACGATGGGGGAATTCGAGCCGTCGGGGGCAGGTTAGGTGAATAAGACGGACGTGTATTTTCGTCGTGAATTGAAGCGGGGTAGAATTTAGTGATATTTATAGTGCCAGGTGCCCCTGCTTGTCGATCGAGAGGGCGGAAGATGAAGTTTGGATACGCCGCGCAGGCGAGCGTCGCGAAGATTTCAAATGAGCACAGGCGCCAAGAGAGTGTGGTGGCGAAATACTGCAGCTTTGCCACCACCTTTCTGCTTGCGCCATTTCCTCCTCCTGCAAAACAGCGCTCTTTCTGAAAAACCACGTTCTATTCTACATTAGTGACTAACTAGTATTCAAGCTGCTAAAGAATGCTATGCACCAAACGGACTACTCTGGGCTTGATGCGTTGGAACACCCTGGCAGACCATAAAGCCACTAGCCTCTCGCCAATCATTCGATAAAGAAGCGACGTATTGCTACGACTTCAAGCCAAGCTTCTTGAGCTGCCCGTCGCCGCAACAATGATGTAGAATTCAAGTGCCTTGTTCCCAATTGTGGCGGCACGCTTACGCGTCAGTCGAACCTGGATCGTAAGCCAACGGTGTTTCGCATTGCTTTTGAGCTAACCCTTGTGCAGATCATATGGGATCACATGCCTAGAATCGCTCGTTTGCCTATGAATGGCCAAACTGCAATGAGGAGTTTACCTGCCGAAATAGTTGCCGGCGCCACTACGGATCGCACCATGGGGCTCGAACAAACCTATGTGCCCTAGGTGCGAGAGGGAGTTCTCTCGGAATGAGGCTCTAGATCGCCACTGTAAGTCTCTCCCGAAAACAACTCCAGTTCCCATTGCTGATGATGTGCCGAGAATTGAATCAAATGCAGCCTCTGGGGGCACACCGGCATCAGGCTATCCTGCGCCCACTCCAGCTCCTAGCTTGTTGCCTGCAAGCTTGGAATAACCTAGTACGTTTGATGTTCACTCTTTGCCTCCTACCTCGCCTTTTGTCTACCCAGCGACTCTGGAAAAAGGTCCTCTCGAAATCCGGTCCCATGCCCCGCCTCCCCCTTCGACTCTTTATGTTTCCTCCAGTTCTTGCTACACTGTAACATGCCCCAATCAACAGAAGGCTGCCTCGGGTTTTCTATCGATTGCCATCGCACCCTCTGGCTTAGCGTCGGTATCAACCAGGAATCGGGGTTATGGAAGCCAGAGGTAGAAGCTCTCCCACATAAATTTCCACTGGATCGGGTCGATAGTGTAAACGTTGGGTAGCTTTAAACAACCTGCTTCGAGTCTCAATGATACCCTTTCCACGCCAAGTCACCTTCTACCTTTTTATTCGTCATCATATTCTCCAACTCGTTGTATCCTGCAACATAATCACACCACTCTGCTGTGTATCCCGCGACTTGGTGTAGTGTGCATACGCATGATCAAGATTAATATTTAAACCCGAATTAGAAGTACAGATGGATGTATGCGCGTGGAGGGCTTGGTCGGCCATGGTCGTGTGACTAGTTGGCACCAGTTGTTTTCCAGCACTTAACTCAGAGGAAATGAACTAGGTCACGTCGATTTGGGGTCAAAAAGGTGCCAAAAAAACGATAGAGATGTTGCGCAGAACTTGTTGACGCGCTGCAGAGCAAGTTGTCCGAATGTATGCGAACCACAATCAGCACCCTGACGCGCGCACGGGGCAACAGTTCGGTGGCGTCACACAAACTTCGCCACACGAGCTGCTTGTATAAATATCGTCCGACCTCTTGCGAGACTTCATCCCGTACCACCACCGTGCCATGGCTCCCCCAGTAAGCTGTCTAGCTTAACCTCCATTTTTCCTTGTTTGACATCACGTTTCTAGGCTGCATCGAAACGCGCGGTTTCGCCTCGTTCCGACACCTCGCGCAAGAGGGCCAAGCGCTCCAGTAAGACTTTCGCCCGCGCATTCTCCACAGAGCTGACGTGTTGTACAGATCCCGTTGCGCGCGCCGCTGCTCCGAATCCCACTCCCACTCGTGGTCGCGCTGCTCCTGGTCCCGCTCCTGGTCCCGCTCCTGGTCAGGCCAAGTCTACCCGCAAAGGCAAGCAAAAGGCAGACGATGAAGGCGAGCTCTTCATATATCTACCCATGTTGTGCTTGTTGCTCATCGTCTGGTCTCCTGAACCAGACTTTGTTCCGGACGTTACGGAGAACGGGCATGAAGATGAGCATGAAGACGACTACGAAGATGTAGGCCCGCCCTCATTTTCTTTTAATCTATCTAAGAGTTTGATTACGCAGGTCGATTCCGACGTGATCGTACTATCGGATTCCAACGCAAAGTCGCCCGTGCCCAAAGCCAAAGCTCCGATCAAAACTCGTGCCCAGAATAAAGGTACGTTGACTCTATGCTGTTGTCGTCCAGCCAGTGACAACTTCTCCTTGCAGCAACGAAGCCCAGCGCAAAAGAGAGGCAGGCCAGTGAGTAGTGTTGTTTTCTTGGCCTTGCTACAGCTGAGATGGGATTAGATTTGATGGACGCGACGATCCTCGCGCTGAGCACAGCGGTGCAGGCACATCTCAAGTTGCAGATTCAGGCCAAGTCGCTCGAAATTGCTCATGTATTGGCCCTTCAAGATTTGGAAGCGGCTAAGAAAGCAACGGTAAAAGAGCAGTTCAAGTGGCTAGATCTTGTCAAGGAGTTCGAGGAGGGCATGCCCGTCGACGCCAAGATCGACGTCAAGGATATCATATTTAATGCGACTCAAACCGTATGCCTCAATGCCGATCGGAAATATCAAGAGCAAGTTGCGACTACGAAATCATTCGAGTACAAGCTCAAGCAGTCGGAGGAACGGATTTTGACCCTCCAGAGGGATGCGAAGAAGGCCGAAGATGCACGTAACGCCAACGCCATCCAGAACCGTTGGCAACAATACCTTCTTAGTAAAAATTAACTAATCTGGCTCCGTCTCCATTCGTTCTATTTCCCGGGACTTTTCACGTTTCGCTCTTCCACTTTTCCTAGACTTTTCTGCCTCCGAATGTTCTAAGTGTCTACGCTCCGTTTGTTCTCTTTCATGGACACTCATGTTTGTTACCTCCAGCCTGGAACGCACAGGATGCACCTTACTGTAGAGGTTTCAAACATATGTATTTGCCTGCTGTTCGGATTATGTGGTACTGTACTCTGCTTTCATTGTCCCCGTGCTTTTCCCGCTCTGTTTTCGCCTACCAGTTCATGTTAGTTATGTTTAAGAATATATGCGCTGCACGCGCTTGTAGCTTTAATGGTTTGCATAACTCCCATTCTGTCTAGTCTCCCCAAGGCAGTCCGACACCATGCACCGAGAACGAGACAATGAAAGCACGGTATCAACTCTGTCTCAAGCTTAGCGAATTGTAGAGGTCACTGGTGGAGAGCATGAAATGTCGCCGGCTCGGGCACAAACCGTCCATCTGACTGTGCGAAGTCGGTATATACCCTTCATCAGCCATTAGAGGCGAGCCACCTTGCCCAATAACGGTATCCCCTCCCTCTCGCCCACCGCTATTGCCAGTGTCGAATTGCCCAATCTGTACCAGATTGTAGCTACCCCATGTACAGTACACGCAGAAAGCATATACACGCCACGCGAGACCACCCACGACACAAGTTTTGACCTAGCATCCCCGGCGCGTACAGGTCAGGGTCCAGATTTTTCACAGCAGACAAGCAGAGCGCTCAAAACATATTTTTATTAACGGGATAGCACACAAGAGACAGGCAGTAATTCGACACAATAGCGTATTCGTTTTCAGTTGTACAGCTATTCAAAACCATTTTCAGGCACATAACTACTCAAAGCTCATCTCGACATCAATAATATCGCCATCGGCTTGAACCTGGGGCCGGGGCCGGGGTCGTTCCCCTGCTGCAACTCGCTGAAGAAGACTATCAATGCGCTGTTGCGTCGAGACGGTCAAGTAATCCTGTACGATTTCGTCGACGGATAATGGTGCTTCTGGGGCGGAGAGGACGCCCTCCTCCGTGATTTGGCCTTTTGCGAGACGCATCAATTCGCGAATCTCGGGCAAGAATGCGCGTATCTCGTCTGGGTCATGCTAACACACAATCAGGGTAGCTTTTTAAAAGTTTGATGAATCGCACTCACTTGGCATAACTCGGCCAATTCATCCACCTTTTCATCATCGAAATCCGTCCACCAGTCAATTCGCCCAAGCTCATACCCTTGTAACTTGTAGCCTCGCGCAAGCTTTGTGACCAGTTTCTTCGCCTGCAACCTGACCTTGTTGGGATCCGATCCGGGGCCAGTTCGGTTATCGTGCTCGTCCTTCAAAGATCGGAAAAGCGTGCTTTCTGAACAACTCGCAAGGCAGTGAGATTGTACATCCGCAATATCGGCGGAGCTAAGCCTAACATCAGCGAAAAAAAATGATACTAGAATAATCGTCCACAAACCGGTATTTGCATTCTTGGTAAGGGCACTTGAATTTCGTGGCGTCATCGGTGCGCATATAGTCTCGGAGCAGGTCCCAGTTGCTATGTTGGGCTCTATGGTGGTCGTCAATATGGTTCGTATAATCTGGGATTGACCTACTGGTGTCGTAACAGGTGCACTTTATCGTTAAAAAGCCACTGGCCGCCCCGGGGCTTCATATCCTCGGGGAGGTGTTTGCAGTGCAAACACGGCCATTGATCGCCATGGGCCTTGGCTCCGTTAGTACGTGGTCGCTCGCCCAAGATTCCACGTACCTTGACGCGCTCCCGATCAATCTTGTCATGTATCACCGGTTCGAACAAAGCTGCCATAAAAGCCATTTTCGTTTCTGGTAACTTAGCGTCTATCACCTGGATCTCATCATCGTCCTTGAACTTCGGA